TTCAAATTAAAATTCAAAAAACAATTTCCATGGTGTTCCTATGCAGGACTACGGCATTCATTTAAAAAGTGCTGTAAAAATGCAGGTTTTATATAGCCATAGACTAAGATCCACTCGACTGAAAATCTCTGTTTGAGCTCATATTTTGCTCATAGATAGAACTCATAGTATAGATAAAAGTTCTGAAATGATTCGTACCATTAGCATTTTCTTCTTCGTTTATGGTTATTTTAATGAACTTTCAACACATTGAAGGATATTACGACAAAAATCGCAACAAGGAGTTTCGGCTTGAAATTCTTCCCAATAATAGTTCCTATGGCTCTTATGACATAGAGAAAGTTTTAGCTCAGATGGATGATGTTTGTTTAAGACATCTTTTACGCCCAAAAAGATGAACTATTTTTGAAGCTTTTATGTGAAAGTAATGTTTTGTTTGCAAACGTGTTATCCCAGAAGAGAAATAATCCTTATTGCGTTTTTTCTCGTGATATCTTGCAATAGACTGAAAATTCAGTAAAATGACCGTAACTCGAGAAAAAGACCTAACTGCAAGAACTCTTTCAGAATTTTCATCTACACTATGAGTCCTACCTATGAGCAAAATATGAGCTCGAACGAAGATTATCAATTGAATGAGTTCTCTTGTTAGTCAAATTTTCTCTATTTATATAAATAAAGATGATAAGATCTTCTGTCAGCATGTCTTTGAAACAATATATTAATGAAAATTACATGAAGACACTTTTTTCGAGTGAATTCCCTTCTTATCGTTAATTAGAGATGAAACTCATTTTGATGAATAGACATAAAATGGAAATGATTATCGATGTGTTGTCAAAACTGCGCATTAGTGGCTTTTTACTTTGAACCAAATTTTTAACAATAATAGTGACTGGTGATATATGAAAAAGACTGATAATCATCATAGATCTATTGTATAGTTCTCGACTCATTCAGTAAATCGGTATATCAACAGTCTAGTTTATTTATCTTTGTCTTGTATAAGAAATTCATTCATATTATTAATTTTTTTAATCATATTTTATTGATTGAATTTAATTTTATTAAAACAGATTTTAGAAACATTCGTTCGATCTTATCTATTCAAGTCGATATTTAGTATTTTGTAGAAATTTTCCTTTTCGAAATCTCTATTCTTTCAAATCTAAACTAAATCGAATTGCAAATTTAACATTGAGATCATTTTAGAATCTTATCGATTCCAAAAAATCATCAGAATATTAAATTGTATTTTTAGGTTATTTTTTCATAAAAATGCCAATAAAGTTTTGTTTTAATAGATAAACAATGAACGAAAAACGAAAGTTGAGAATGAGCGTAAACGATGGCAAGATGAAATCGATGAACAAAAACAATCGTATGAAAAAGAATTAGATGAAGTACGAAATAAATTACGTAAACAACGAACAGCTGGTAATTTAACAAATAATCAAGAAGTCTGTTTTATTTTTTTTTCTTATAAAAATTAAATAATAATAAAAAAACACATGCACATATTCTTTGAATAGATTAGTCGACTTGAACAAGATTTAGAACGTGATTGGCAAGAAAAACTTGATCGACAACAAGCACAACATGAACGTATATTAATGTCAAAAGGAAAAGAACTAGAACAATTAAAAATATCTTTTAAGGAGAACGAAATTAAAGTTAATTAAATATTTTTTTTTTAAATTTTTACTTAATTTTCATTTTGTTTTTGTAGTCGCAACAAACAAATGAAGGGTTAAAAGAATCCCATCAACAAATCGAAGCTTATAAAGAACGAGTAAATAACAAAAGAAAAACATGAATCGTTTTCTTTTTATTTGTTGTTATTTTTCTTTTCAGTGTGAAAAACTTCAAGAACGTCTTTTATTAATGAAAGAAAAATTAATCGAAATCAATGATGAACAACCACAATTAATCAATGAACAAGTTAAACGTACAATTAATATTATATTTCAAAGTTTAAAAGCTCGTATTCGACCAACAAAACAATATACTGGTGAACAATTTCTTTCGCGTTCGCTTGAAATTATTAAAAAAGCAACATTAAAAGTTTTATCAAATAATGATGATGATGAACAAAATGAACAATCAACAGATGATATTGAATCAGATGATGAAAATGAACAAATTCAAACAACAGTTGATATTCAGAAAATTGATCAATCATTAAATGATAAATCTGTTGATCAAGAACCATTAAATGAAGAAGTTTCATTAACAACAACAACAACTCAAAATGAAGATAATAATTCAAATCAATCAGAAACAACAACAACAAATAGTCAAAAAAATGATTGGGATACTGTAGATGATATTCAACAGGAATCAAAAATTCAATCTGAAACACTTGAGCAAAGTCAAATTGTTGTAGTTGCTGAAGATACGACATCAGCAGGTATTTACTTTTTAATAATTATTCGTATATTGACATGAAATTGATATCGCAGAAGATGGAAGAAAGACGACTAATCATTCTCATTAGGATATAAGACAGTAATAGGAGATCATTCATGCCTCGTAAAGTCCATCGAATCTATCTCAAATTCGAACTCGGACAGGTCGAGTTCAATAAAATTTTAATAAATTGGGTTCGGGTTCGAAAATCTGAGCTAATGGGCTCTAGTGTACTAGTAACGATAATTGGTTCGCATTATTTCGATGATCTTATGTTTAAAGCAACAAGTCAAGAAAGAAAAAAATAGATCCAGAATTAACTTAAAATCAGTAGACTTCAAAATCGACGATTGATCTTCCCTCTATTAGGGATTCATTTTAAATACTTATGTCTTTGCAAATGACAGTGCTTTTTTTAGATTACCATTTTGCTGTGAAGTAAAATATAGTGCACAAGTTAAATTTGAGAATGATAATATGTAGCGACTATACGATAATTTTCGTCCAGTATATTTATTCATTGATGAAGTTTTAGCTTGCGATCTCATTAGGTACTTTTATTAAATCTCTGTAAATCGATCAGTTTGTAACATAAAAACTTTAGTCATCATTGTTGGATCAGTTACCTTTGTACTCTAAGTTTTCATTCTTTTCTGTCTCTCAATTCATTAATTTATTGTATAAACATTAACATTTTTCTTTTAATCATTTTTTATAAAAAATTTTTAAGTCAACGAAACTGAAACAACATCATCAAATTCTGTGATTGAGAATAATGAACCAGCATCTTCTTCTGAAACTGTCAACGAAGAACATGCTGAAGATGATATGAACGAAAACATTGAAAAAAATAATGAAGAAATTGAAAAGAATGATAACGAACTACCACCGGAATTGGATATATCAGAAGACAAAACTTTAAGTGATGACGGTAAATCATAGATTCTTTTTTCGTTCAATATAAATTATATTTTTCCTTATAGAAAGTGATAGAGAATCATTTCAATCAGCTCGTCCACCTAGTCAAGATACTGCTTCAGCATCAACTTTTACACAACCATCAGCATCTCCAAAAGTATATCTAATATTCTCATTCATTTCTTCATGTTATGTTTGTTTTTAATCTTTTCTTTTCAGTATACATTCAATGAAAATATTCCATTAATGACAAAACTTGATAATTCCGATGATGATATTTTTAACTAAATTAATGCCTTAAAAAATGTCTATCGATGTGCTTTTTTTGTCTTGATTATAAATCGATATGACATTAAGTGAAATTATTATTTCATTTGTTTTTTTCGTTAAATAAATCAATGAAATTCTTTTTTTTTTTTATTCGTTTGTTAGTCTATTTTTTCGTTAATTTATCTCATCAAAAAATATACGCAATATCTTTCTCTATTGTTTTTACATACATTCCAATTTAAATAAAGATCGAAATAAATATAAAATTGTTTGCTTTTGAAAAATACTTGAATTTCAATGATAAAGAAAAGATTTTATTCTCTAAAGATTTTTTAAGCATCTATTTCTTGTTTTGTTTTCTCATACGATACGATGATAAAGCTTCTTTTTTTCTGTGTTACTTTTATCTGTATGACATAGAAATCTTAAGAAGAAAAAGAAAATCAGGCTTTTGGGACTTTTATGCTTGTCAAAAGTACAGAATTACTTGATTGACAAAATTTCTAATTAGTAATATTTTAATTGAATAGAAAAATGAATTCTATGCTAACAAAAATAACAATTTTAAATTAAAATATTTATTTACTTAAATTATCATCAATAATCTTCATATGTGGGTCATTTCAAGTAAAATAGTGCATACCATTCGTCATTCATTTGATTTTGATTCTTGACAAGGATCATTTTTCTAAATAAGTTCTTTTAACATAGACATATGTAAAAATGTTGACTTTTTCAGTTGATGATTAATTAAAAAGTAATTAGCAAATATCTCTCTAATCACATACGAGGAAAAAATATCTGAAAACTTCAGAATAGACTCGACAGCACAAACCGCATATGTAGTAAAATTTTCACCAAGATCAAACTCCAAAAAACTTCCTCTTGCAAATTGGTTTTATCAAGATACTATCAAGTTCAGAAACAAAATATTTTGTCTTACCATTATCTAGAGATTCTGAAGAAGGATAAAACAAAATGCAAATTGGAAAATCTAGGCATGCTCAAAAAAAAACTTTAGATTGAGATTTTGTAGTGTTAGGAGTTACCTATAGCATATACTATTTAATTTCCAAAAATGATGCCATGATTCGGAGTTTTTTAAAACTAAAATGCATGAGATGACAGTTGATATCTGTTTTTTTTGTGTGTCATTTCGCTATCGGTAGTTTTTTTATTGATAATTCCTCTGAGCAATGATCTTCGGCACTGATTTTCTCAGAGTATCTAGAGTTATTTAACATAATTGTAATATATATATAAATTAGCTCAAGGAAAGTTCATTATCTGGAGATATACGTTTTTTAATTTTGTGAACTCATGTCGCAAACAAATGATTTTACACATATAAAACGTTGAATTTTTATTAATAAAAAAATCATTAAAATCAGATTTTTATCCTTTTACATTGGAAGAACCTTATAGTCAATATTAACACCATATCGATGAACTCGGTCAGGACCTTGAAATTTAAGAATAATTTCATAGTTTGAATCAGAATATTGAGTAAGTGTTTTATCTTTTGTCGTTACATCTATTTCTTGATTATTAAATATTCGATAGACATGTGAGACAGCTGACATTATTTGTTCATTATCGAGATGAATGGCATATAGTTGATGTTGTTGTGTAAATGGTGTTTTAATAATTAATGTTAAATTATGAAGTGGATAAGACCAAAAAAAACTCATCGTAATACATTTTTCATAATCAGTATCAGTCATATTAACAATACCTGAATTACAATCACCGGGAAATTGTACTACACTCATACATGTATCAAGTTTATCGACTTGAGCTTTGCATGACTTAATAACACTATTCTCAACAATTATAACAGATATTAAAAGTAATAAAACAATTGATGACAAAGCAGATAACATGACTGATAAGTGTTTGACTATGAATGGTATGTTAAGCTGCTTTTATATATAAATAAAACGAAAATGAGGCATAAGAAATAATGACAAAACTAAAACAAAATAACAGATGCATATGGTTACAGATAGAGTATATACTGATTACACGGGAAATATTTTTGCGTGGTCAGTATGACTCGATTTATTTTTAACAAGGTCGAATATTGTTTCTAACGTGCAATGCAAAAGTGACGACATAAAATGCTGATTCCTATTTCTCTTTGATAAATGTGTTCTAAAAAATACGGTTCAAAAAACGAGACAAAGCTCTATTGTTTGGTAAAAAGAGTTTTCTTTCAAAACTTTTTTATCGAAGAGAAATAGGGATTAAGTTTTTGTGCCATTACTTTGCATCGTACGTTATTTTTATGAAAAAACAATAGATCAGTTTTCAATGATTCATATCATTATTTACGAGAAAAAAAGCATGTTATTATAGATGTTCTTATATTATTTTTATTTTGTAGAAAATTTCTTTCAAAAATAAAATCATTCTTATTTCAATTACGGTTGAACAAATGTTAATCCTTGAAATGTTGCTTCTTTTGTTCGAGGCATTTTTACAATAAGATTAATTGTATCATTTGTTGTTATATAATTAACTTTTGAACTAGCAATAATTGTTCCTTGATCATCAACAAAAAACATCAGAAACTTGAAGTTGATTCACTTCAAATTCAATACCATAATCTACAATATTTGTTATATTTGTACATTCAATATTTTCACACACAATAAACATATATAAAGGTTTATTCAGCGGATATTCTGAAGCAATAAAATGAAAAACCGGTAAATCTGTATTTAGATCAATAACATGTTACATTTGAACTCCATATTGTTTTAATCTTTATATCGGTCTTGAAGAAATTGTATATTGTGATTGAATTGATTGTTTACAATCAGGAGATCAAGATATTGAATATGAATTATATCTTAAATAAGAATTTTTATTTTCAAATAAATAAAAATAAAAAATTTTATCCGATTGTGATGTTTGTACATTAGTTGATATAGAAAATCGGAATTGTGAATCAACAGCTAAATAAACAAAACAAGCTAAATCTTGATTGACACTAAATTGAATTACGGATGTTTGATTGGATGATTGTGTTAAAGAATGTATAAATTCAATTCAAGTTCACATAGTGTTAACCAAGTTGAAAATTCAAAATGATTACGTGTTACATTAATACTTGTTCCTTTACAATAAGCTTTTCCTGTAAGATTAAATGGTAATGAAACACGAGAATAACTTAGACCTTGTTCACATAATGGATCTTAATAAATTTGAACTGTATAACTAGTAATACGATTATCTACAGATGTATAATGAGCTTCAGATATGATCTGTATAGGTAAACCTTCTTGAGTAAATGTTAAACGTAATCTTGCTTGACCAAATCCTGGATTATTCACTGTATTTTGTATTAATGATTTATTACATTTAGGATCTGATGATAAACACATGACTAATTCAACATTGTTATTCGATATTCGATAACCTGGTGAAAGATAAGATTAAGCACCATTGATATAAGGATATTATTGTTGAATACAACGAGGCGATACAGCATTAAGCGCAAAATGAGCTGAATATAGACCAGGTATAGAAAGAGTCGAAATATCCGAACAATCACGTGTACAACATAATAAATACTGTTGAAGTTTGATTATAACTATATTGAAAAATTGATGAACATCGATCAGGTGTTAATGAAGCTGAAAAATCTGTATAGAAACCTTCAGGATTAATTATCCAACTTGTACTTGATATTAATGAATATACAGAGAGAGAGTGATGATTCTCTCAATGAAACAATGATCAATAGAATGATAAATCGACACATTTTTATTCAAGAATGAAAAAACTAATAAAACGACTTATAGATAACGTCATATTTTAAATGAAAGTATTTTGAAAAAATGAGAATATTAATGTGTTATTAATTATATTTGAAAAAAATTATCTTTCTTTTTTTCTCTTCATATTAATTATTTACCGAGAGAACTTTTTTTTCTGTATTTATATTTTTAATAATAATTCTTTCTAATTTAGTTTTGAAGTAAAAAATAATCGCCTACAATTACTTTATTTTTAAATACGATTACTACGTCATAGTTTTTTTTTCTATACACTTATTTGTAGAAATATTTCTTATTATATATATTAAAATCACATCTCAATAAAAATAAAAGAAGTACATTATTCTAAAACATAATAAGATCTATAAATGGAATATATTACGTGTGCTATATACGCAAAATAACATATATTACGACTTTTAAAAAGAAAAATGCTCAAATAACAGATCATATTTGAAAGCGTACATAATATATTATGTTTATTTTTATATTGTTAAGATAATTTTTTCTTTTTAAAATAAACGTTTGCTTTTAGAATTAGCTTTTGTTAATTTATATATATCAACATCGACTTTATTGTGAAGATCATTCTGAAATAAGAAAGTTTTCTTTTTTTTTTTTTTAATATACAGTAGCTTCCAAAATGATTCGATCGTGTTTATTTTCAATCAAAATTTTTAAAAGATGACTCCTGATTTCTGAAGAACATAGTCTCTGGAAAATCAAAAATAACGAGTTTTTTTATTCCTAGGATTCCGTTTCAATTATTCCGAATGATAGAGCAAATAATTCTCTATCAAATGAAATGTCTTTGGTCTTTCCACGACATTTTTGATCAAAATATGTCAATCTTAACGATGGCATAAAGATGATATTTTGGTATAAGATAAAAGAAAAACAAGAAAACGACTTTTGGAAGATGGATATATCTCGGTCAAAAGAATATCATAGACAGTTGGAAGACATTTCATTTTGTAATAAATTCTTTGCTCTATCATTTTGAATAACTTAAATAGAATTCTAAGAGTTGTGAATTTTTCAAAGACTCTGTCATTGAGAAACTAGTGATCATTTCCTTACAGCAGTGGAAAAAAAATGTGATCGAATCATTTTGAGAGCTGTTGTATATCGAAAACAAACTAATGTTTGAATTTGATCTTGAATTTCATTATCAATTAAAGTATTAAAATATTGTAAACGTTGTAAATTTTCATCGACATTTTGCAATTGATCATTTGAATAGATTCGATCTTGTTCAATATGAACTAAATTTTCATTTGATTTATTTTCTTGAGATTTAATTAATGATGAATTTTTCGATTTGAATTTTTTTGATTTTGATGGACAACATAAACGAATACAGAAATTTCTTTGTAATTCATCAATTTCATGTTCAACATCTTTAAGATGTTTACTTGATTTATCCATTGTTGTTTGACATTGTTCTATAAACAAAACTTTTGACCTTTTTGATTTTATTAGTCTCGTCAATCTTATATTTCTGTTTTATAGGTCAATCTATTTTTGTTTTCTGTAAATAATTAAACAAACCTATTTGTTTTGTTTGTAATGTGTTAATATGATGAGCTTGAGATGCAAGTAGTTGTGATCGTTGCATTGTATTCTCAAGTTCTTCTATTATAGAATTAAAATTATCTTTTGTAAAAGACATTGGATTATCTGTCATTTTTTCTTTTAATATTAATTATTGAAATAAATGAGAGATACAAATCTATGAGTTATATGTGTAAACAAATATGATCTATTTAATATGAAATAGTAATTAGAACGATAAAATTTCAATAATATAGCGAAAAGAAATGCGCTTAATGTAAATTTAAATTATCTTTAGAGACAAAAATAAATTGTTGCGATGATTCATTTGAAGTATTATTATCATCTGTTTGAATTCGATGTATTTCACAATTTGTTGTTAGATGATGTATTGTTGTATTTGTGAAATTAGTAGTAACAATTGATGGTTTAGATTCTTCATTATAATTTGCAGTATTTGATTTATTATGATGTCTCTTATTAATACTGGAGAAAATTCCTGTTGAAAAATATTGACTTTCTCTTTGAGAAATTGATTGATGATGATGATGTCGATCGAAAAAAATTGCATATAAATGTTTTCGAAATAATTGTCCTGTTAATGTATAAATATAAAAATGTCCAGCATAATAAATTTGTTGCATAAGAGTTAAAATAACTTTTCGAAACCAATCAAAACAAGAACGTTCACGACCAGTATAGTTAAATATATCATTAATTTCCGTTGGTAAACAAAGAATAAGAAATGTAAATGTTGTTCCAATTAACATCCAACTTAATTGTACATCTTTATCACGTACTTTTAGTTTCCTTTGTTCTTTTAATGTTTTTCGAAATGTTGGTCGAATTGTTTCTTTTGAATAAAATGTATAATAATAAAATTTGCCTTTTTTATTATAATGTATTGTTTTTCGTGTTTGAATTATTTGAAATATAATTAATAATGAACATATAAACATAATAGAAAATGGTATAATAATTAAAAAAATACTTTCAATATATGAATCATAAAATTGAAATAAATTCTTATAGAAAATATTTTCTTCACGTATATTACAATCATAGGATTCATCTAATTCTTTATCATGTAAATAGATTTTTTCATAACCATATAAAATATGTCCATTAGCAATAAAAACAATAATTATACTGATGAAAACAAACCATTTACCTTTGCGAATATTACAATAACGTTTTGAATGCGATGGACAATAAATTAATATAAATCGATCTCTAAATAAAATAGGAAAAAAAAGAGCTTCTTAATTTAACAGATAAATATGTCATCAAATATTTAGTGTTAGAATGTTAAATATTAACGTTTAAATAAATTTCTTTCCGTATGCTGATTTTTTGATTAATTAGTTTTTAGGCATTACTTAGAAAAATTTCTTATTCAAAAATTAAAATGATTGTATTGATTTTTATTTCAAAAATTAATTTTTTCAACTTATATAATTTTTATTTCAAACATAAGTAATATTAATTGAAATAAATATTAAAATGAACAAATTTTTATAAAATATATTTTTCTTAACAAAAGTTAATACAATATGTAAGAAAATTATTATATGTTTGATCTTAGGAAAAAAAACAAGTAAATTCTTCAAGGAAACACGTCATAGGAATATTCGTTTAGCAGGTGTTCCATCATGAATGCACAAATACATTGTAACAAAAATTTTCTGAAAGGAGACTTATTTTTCATGTGTTATCATCCACCCTCACTTTCATGCTGTACTCTACCATTTAGAAGAACTAAAAAAACGTTTTCTCATGAAACTAGATTAATTACAATGTACTTTTTTCATTCATAGTGAAACACCTGCTAAACAAATATCCGTCATATGAAATGTTTTTTATCCTGTTTGATAAAACTTACACTGATGCTAATGTAAGAATAATATTTGATAAATGATTTGAAGAATAAATAAGAAATATTATTATTTTACAGACAATTGTATGAATAATAATTAAATCTATATGAAAACTATATGGTAGATGTTCAATAATCATTGTTAATAGATGAATTGAATCACTTATTGCTAATATCAAGAAATAAAAGCAACATGATTTTCGTCCTATTTAAATAAACCAAAAAAAAAAACTTTCTTTTGAAATTCAAAGAAAATAATTTTCAAAAAAACTTACGAAGAGGTTTTCTTGCAAAAACACAAATACTCAATACACTTGAAATAATTCCAATAAGAAAAATAAATGTACCAAAATAACGTATAATACCATTTGTAAAAGTACATTTTCGATAATCATTTGGTATTGAAAAATTTGTATTATTTTTCATTATTTTTAATATTTTGTTAAAAAATAAAACTTACGAATAATATAATAATTGTTTCTTAAAATGATTTATTTATTTCTTAATTTTTATGATTTCTTTTTTTCTACCTCTTTTCTAATACAAAAAATATTGGTTTAAGGCCAGCAATTACATAAAAACGTTTTAGTTCTCGTGTCTAACACTAATGAAATGCTTTGAGTTAGAAGGAAAAAAGAAGGAAAGAAAAAAAAGAGAACGTTAGCTTTGAAACTATTTTCTTAGAAAGACATTCGACTCTTTTTATATAGAAAAACAAAACGTTTGACATTTGCGAACATGGACACATTTCCGTTTCTAAATGTTTCATGTTTCATGTTTCATGTTTCTTTCATATACAAATCAATTGTCTAAAATAATTTTGTTCGGTATATGATTGAAAATAAAGTTAACTCTAATCAATAGTTTATTATTTTACGGATATTGAATAGAAAAGAAAAAATTTCGTGTATGATTTTCTTAGTTCATTAATCGTCTTCAATAACAACCATAATAGATATTCAGATATTAATAGCATAGAAGTTCAAAATGAAATACAATGCGTCTATGTGTGAGTACTTAGAAAATCCTGATATAAAGAAGAAACATGATGTTCTTCTCTTCTGGTCATTTCTTCAATAGATAATTGATAAATACGTTTAGAAAACATGATTCGTTATTTTTTGATTGAGAGAATTATTTTTCATAATTGATTTACAGATCACGTCAGGTTAAAGTACAAACTAATTTGTATTTAGTTCATTCTCAATTTTATTAATCAATCAGAAACAATAACACTCGATTTGTTTTTCTTGCATTATGATAATCATATACAAATTTTCCCAAAAAGCTTTTAGCGTAATTCCTAGAAGATTAAAATGTGAGACACGATGTCACTATTCTTGCTAATCATGAAAGGTTACTTTATTCTATCTATTTTCACATATATTTCTTCACGATCCTTTTATTTACTTCTCGAGAAATGCGATAAGGATATAGATCATACATTAGAATGAAACATTATTGATTTACAGCCTTTGATCGCATACTAACAACATTTATCACAATCTATGGGTGGTCCACATTTTTGCTCCAATACTTTAACATTCATTTTAGATCGTATTTTATAAAAACCCTATAATCTAGACTAAATGTAATGCTTTTAAGATATTTTCTGCCGGATAGCCTTATCTTCTCTATTATTCTCAGTCTTCAAATTATGAATATGAGTTTTAGTTTTATTTCCCAAGAGAAGACTTCAATACCATTAATTTATATACAAAATAAAACATTGTGTAGCTAAGTACAAAGTGCCAAACTATGTTAACTAAGAAGATTTAGAAAATATTGATGAATTAATTTAATAAAGCTCTAGATGATGATATACAATTATTTGTGAACCATACCATATAATATCTTTATTGGATTACAGTGCACTTTCATCTTAGGTTATATTATGTGGTTCTTTTTATTGTTCTGGTACTCTAATAGATGAGTTTATTTTTATAAGTGTAAAGTAGATAGACACTCAATTAAATAACTGTTTGTAAAAGACAAGTCTATTATTAAGAGAAGAAAAAGGCTATGCATTACAAAAAAAATTATGATTTGAATTCGACTGTGTATTTCAGTAATTTCGAGATATGCCCATCGCCTAGAAATTGGAAATTTATGGAATTCTAGAAAATCATGTGGGATTCGCTGTTTGAAGCCATTGAATTTGAACTGCACGTGACAATATTTTCTAACTCTTTCAGTAGAGCTGTGCCACTGTTTTTCGGTCCATCCTCATCGTAGAATACTTTGAATTCTCTTCGATTACTCGAATTTCATCTCTGTTGCTGTTGAATTTCTAGTTTCTGGATGGTGAGTACTGCGGATTTTGAAGTCCATTAAAAGTCGTATCAGCTTATTTTTGGGCATTTTCTGTTGAGAAAAATTCGAAAAATATTTTGAAAGGGAGGGGCAATCATCCCCAGCGTCTCCTCTAAATCTGCTACTGCGAGATATGTTTTCTTTTTCATTTATTTGCTCAAATATTATCGATCATGGTAACGCGTGACCACTTTGTAGAGATCTAGTCTACTCTTATACTATTCATTAATATATCTATGTAAATTTGTTCTAATCATAAACTCAATGTTTTGTTTTTTATCAAAAATACGATTCACAAGCATTTTGTCGTTGATAGAATATAAATGAAAGAGAAAAAATTAATTTTAATATAATCTATTGTTATATTTATGAAAGTTTGAAAATATAGTTGAAAAATGCATCAAGGCACTCTTTACAATATGACTGTCAAAATTTCACCTATTCATGTCGCACTTTCGTTAACACTACCACTGGTATACCACGGTGGAATACTGATCTGGAGAAAGTCGACCGTTCAAGTATCGAACTATCACCAATATAGTGTACATTATATCGAATGATTTACCGATGGTTTTCGTTCGGTTTAAATCACATCAGTACTACACGTTGTCAATGCAAGTTGGTTATAAAAAGAAGTGTTCTATAGTGTTGTTTGTGAACAATTGGATACTAACCACAGACTATATTCATGATGACACGAAGATTCAACGCGATCAAAATTGGATTTAATGTTATTTATATATTTTGTAACTGATTGACGAAAGAATGGATTGTTTCGAGTGATTTTTAGTGCCATCTATTGAAAATTTAAAGTTCTTGAGTTTTGTAGTATTTTGATTTGATTCTTATAATCTACTGATGCATCAAATGCGCTTGTTGTTCAGTGATTATTTCTAAATGCACTGTTTTTACGACTAGGTCGTTATTCAAGATTTATATCTATTCAGAATCAGAGAGATCTTAATAAAATTTTGTACGAAATATTATGCTGGTCATATTTAGAAAAAATTAATAGATGACGCTCATAGCTAATTCATTGAAACAGAGAATGACAATTATCTGCCATAGAGATGACGTTAGTAAATGATACTATCAAAATAGAAAAAATTAAAATGTCCGAGACGAAAATATGGTGCAACGATGTTATAAACTATGCCTAATTTTTCTGTGCAAATATCTCTTCAGTTGACTCAGTTATCCAACGATGTGAACAAATGCATCAGTAGATTTCTGATAAAAACCATTCGATGAATCATCTACACATCAACTAGTAGATCATTGTGTACTTTGAAGAATTAAGTTGCTATTTTTATTTATTTGCTTCATCATGATTCTGATAAAAATGTACCGGTGCAAGGTATGCACTGTCATTCTTACGTAGGAATACAAGCATCCCTACAAATATTGATACTCATTTGCAATATTCATCATTTGAATTATCAGAATAGAACGATGTCAAAAACTGATTTTCCTGTTATTTTTCTTACACATGGAGCGTAAGAAAAATTTAATATTTTTTAATATATGATTAAATTTTGTTTTTTTTTATTTATTTAATTATCTTTAGCGGTCCTATGATGTTTCTTGAGTCACCACCATCTCGTACTCTTGGTGAAATCGATAAAAACAGTCCAGCAGCTCAATGGTTTCGTCAATTATCTGAACAATTAGCTTTACCATCATTACCAAAAGCAATTCTTATTATAACAGCACATTGGGAAACATCAAATGCTGTACATATCAGTGCACAAGAAAAACATACAGAGCTTCTTTATGATTACTATAACTTTCCACCAGAAGCTTATAAACTTCAATATAATCCATTAGGTGATATAGATTTATCAAAACGTGTTAAACAATTACTTGAACAAGCTGGTATATCAGCTAAACTTGATGATAAACGAAATTTTGATCATGGAGTTTTTATTCCACTTAAACTTATCTATCCAGATGCAAATATTCCAGTTGTTTCAATGTCTGTTCTTGAAAGTTTGTCACCAGCTCAACATTTAGCTATTGGAAAAGCTCTTGAACCATTAAGAAAAGAACAAATATTAATTATTGGATCAGGTTCATCTGTACATGGATTTCAAGCAACAGAAACGCAAGTAAATGAATTTATGAATGAATTAACTAAAGTTCTTACACAATATGATGAACATGACCGTGAAAAAGTTTTACTTAATTGGGATAAAGTATTACCTTATGCACGAACGAATCATCCACGCGAAGAACATTTTATACCTTTACATGTTATTGTTGGTGCTGCAGGTTCAGATCGTGGTCAATTATTAAATCCAACTGTAACAAGTGCACAAGCTTCTTTTAAATTTAGTGTTTAAATCTTATTAGTCTTTTTTCTTCTCTGTCATATGAATAACAAATAAAAAAAAAGAAGAATCTTGATCGAATTAGGTTCGGAAAGAGCAATGCATGTGATTAATAGAAGAAAAAAAAATCAATATTCTTTGTTCTCTTCTTTCTTTTTTTTCTTCAGTTGTCTAATTCGATTTTGTTCTGAGAACTCTTTCTCTTCGTAACTATAACATGATGATGTTAGATGGGACGAGCTGAAAGATAGGCGCGAAAATAGAATGAAAATCATAAGAAAAGAAGGCTCAAACATTACTCTAGGCACACATACAAACGCCAATATAACCTTGTGTGCCATCTGAAACACACGCAAGCGACGACGAGAACGATAGAACGCAATATATTTCTATCAAGAAATAGTAGAAAAAAAAAACTTATTATATCGGCCAGACAGATACGACAACGTTTGTCTCCTTTTTTTTTATTATTATCAATGTGGAAAAAGCTTAGAGATGTTTTGTGTCGTAAAGGTAAGCAAATAATTTGCATTTTAGGATACTATTAAAATAACCTTTGCTTTTATATTGTATATAACAACATAGTTCAATATGATAGACAAGGTAATTAAATAGATTGAACAAAAAAGAAAGAAAAAGGGTGAATGACAACTTTGTTTATATGATGTGCGTGAGAAAAGTTCTTCTTGCCACCGAACACCAGTGAGATAAACAATCATCGTTCTCACAACTGTTTTATAATCAGACAAGGAATAATAAAGATAGAACGAGACTAATGGCTGATGTGCATAGCTCGTCTATTGTCCACGGATGTAAGATCACGTAATCGTTTTCATCAATATAGACGAGGTCGATGAAATGAGCAAAGCAGAAAACAGTTTTATTATTTGCACAGCAGGACTAGTAGTTGATAACATGATCTTCTCTATATTATTGGCCGAGCATGAGACAATGGATGGCGCATTTGATGAAATGGCCTGTGAATAGAATCTTATAATGTTATGTAAAAGAAAGAAAGAAAGAAAGAAAGAAAAGCAAAGACTGTATGTGAAAATGCTTTGAATACTATCCATTTATATGAATCATTCTTTTACCATCTTGTTTAAATAAATAATCTTTACTAACAGAGGAAAAAAAAAGATTGACGTCTATTGTTGTTTCTTGAAGACATGTTATTTTTCTACGGAGTCAAATCAACATTTTAAAAAAATTATCGATGAACAGCATTCAGTCAAGATTTTTTTTTGACTCCGATTTGTAAAAAACATAATACCAATGTTAAATTTTTCAATTCAAAACCATTAATTGCCTTTTAAGTCAAATAACCTTATAATGTTTACTTGTGCGCGTGAGTGAAGTTTTTAATATAATAGTTGCTATCGAGAAAAACAAGGGCATGCGATAAATATAGCCACGTTTTCTCTTTTTTTTTTCCTTTCTATTCGACGAACCACTTAGTGGTAAAGCAAGAGCGGTTTGTTGCGTTCCGATTTCACCTGCGTACCTCTTTCCTTGTTTTTCTTCATTTATTTTCAAGTAATCTCGATCTCTCAATCAACCACATCTTTTTTTTTATGACAACAGACCTTGAATAGTAATTTGCTAGATAGTCTACCGAAGTAGTCGTCTCATTATCGATCGATTGATTCATACTAATATCACACATCACAAGGATTTTATCTATTAAAAGCCTTTCATTGTTTCTTTTTCCTTCTAGTCGTGGCCAAAGTTCAGCTATAAAAGCACTGATATTCAGCTAAATGTAACACCTTTGCTTTCACTCTCTCTCTCTCTCTCTCCCTTTTTCTTTTTCGCATTGCGGACGATACTTGATCCATTTAGGTGATATAGTTTATTCGCTTATATAAAGAGAGAAAGAGAGAATATAATATCTCAATACAACAACGAAACGATAAACTTTCATCGAACAATATATCTCTTTTTCTCTTTTTTTTTCTCTCCGTTCTCTTCTCATTATTTCCAGTCGCTTGTTGGAGTCGTGAGAGCGGAAACGATTGTTGCTTGTTTTGCTTTTCTCATTGACGCTTAACACATCACTATTCATCTCGGATTACTATTCTTTTCTATGATTATTCTTACAAAATGTTTGTGAAATTACTTGTAAATGTATTTGAACGAGCAAAATCCAAAATAACATCAACACGTTCTGTTAGTCGAATTCCATCAGGTTTGTTCAAAATTTGTTCTTATCTATTCAATAAAATTATTCAATAGAAAATAATTTTAATATATTTTCATTTGAATTTTTTTTTAAAGACACAGATGATGAATTCGATTCAAATAATTCCAAACAAATTTCTTCATCTGGTCCATCAATAACACATCAACAACCCCGTTCATCTTTATCAAAATGGTTATGTGCAACTCCAGCATGTTCTAATAAGTCGGTAAGCGAAAAAAAAAAATATTCTTTTTTTTTCTTGGTACTTAATGTCACATTTGATACACCTTGAATTGATTTTTTAATAAGAAAGAATTTCGTTCTAATAACCTTCATCTATACGAATGCATCCAGCTGTTTATATCTTAAGGTCGCCAATTTACTTTTGTTTAATTGAGCTATAATCATTTTTTTGCAATGTTCCGTTTGTCATGCATGTACATGCCTTGCCAATTATTTGTAGAGCAGATGATTTGCCCTGTAGGTTTTACCTTCCGTCTGTTTTTTTCTCTTTCCTCTGCGGCTTTTTTTTTTTATACTACATACATTCGAATGTAATGTAATTGTAGTGTAAGTTTTTCGTGACAGCAAAAATCAAACGATATCTAAAGCACTTATTGTTTTATGTTTATCATGTCTACTAGTCATTATTATAAAACAGTTACTAAATTGATAAGAACAATTGCTTAATCGATATGCAAGACACATATACATGTATGACAAGAAAAGAAAAATATGTATACACAGATTGAAAAATGATGTTGATGAGAAATCTTGAAGAACTGATGTCAAAACAAAGATATGCTGTTAGAAAAAAAGATGACAATCGAATGACATTGATTATCAATTACTGTCATTAACTAAGAAAAAAAACACCAATAACATAGTTTTGATAGATGTTTGAGATAATCGAATTCTTTTTTCTGCGTCTAATTTATCATCATCATTCATAGAAAATATTTTCTTTTTCACTTGTATATACATGTAGATTTTATCATTGAAATCAAATAAAGTACGTCGAAGTACTTCATGGCGATCTTTAAAAGAACGTGGATCTAGTTATATTGAACATTTCACTTCACGTACGTTATCAGTTGATGAGCTTCATCGACATGCCAAACAACATCAAAAACATACTTGTTTACGTAAACAAGAATATAATCGACATGATTGTATGTGTATTATGTTTCGATCATTTCTATAATAAAAAAAAAATCCTCTATTTAGTTTCACATTCACCAATGTCTAATTTACCTAATCAATGTCAAAAAACGTCAGGTCTTAATCAAATACGTTTATCAAATTGTGATGCATCAATAAGTTTTCTGACAAGTCATAAACGTTTCGATCGTTTATCATCAACATTTGCTAATTATTCTAGTAGATATAGAAAACAAAATCTATCAACAAAATCCCATCGACGAAATAATCAAGAAATATTTTCAATAAATAATACAAATAGTGCAGGTGGAGATTCTGGTTATTCAGAAGAAAGTTTTTCAACAACAACATCTTCATATACACGTCCATTACATATATCATGTCCACATTGTCATTGTGAACAACGCTCATCATTTAATAGTTATAAAAAATCTATTGAAAATTCTTCAACAGATTCACCAACGTCAGATACAATAATTAATAAACAAAGAAATTCATCCGATTTTTATTATCATCTTTTTCAACAAAAACAAGCTCTGTCAGCTAGTCGATCATATCCACATATTAAACCACTACCAAAAACAACGATTCAATCGCAAACAAATAAATCTGCAATAAAAGAACAACAGCAAAAACTACCACACAGACAAACTAGAACAAAAGGAGCAAAACGACGAAGACATTTATCTTGTGATGGTTCACTTTGGCCAAAAACACAAACACAACAATCTGTTAATCAAGTAAGATTTTAATAGATATAATCTCAATCGATCTCAAAATAAGAATATTGAATAAAACTAAATGTTATATATTTATTGCAGAGATCATCTCCAGTAGTATCTGAACCTAATCATGCACTTCGTCAACGTCATTTTACAACAATTGGTATGATGTATAATGATCCATCATTAACATATTCAAAAACTCTATCAAATTTACCAAAAACGAATCATGTTTTTGATGAGCTTAATTTAGCTGCAATAGAACTTGATTCTCTTCGTACATTAGATTGTTATCGTACATCACTTTCATCATCATATTCATCATCTTTAACATCATCATTATCTTCAATAAATACTGATGAACAATTTAAAAAATCTCGTTTACATTCAAAAAAATCTTCTCGACAAAAAGGAACATATCTTGTTTGGCATGAATATAAAAATTCTTCATTATTATCAGCAACGAATGGTACAAAAATATTTTCAGTTATACGTGGTGATCAAGTACGTTTATTAAGACGTATTGGTAAATCAACATTACTTGTGCAAAAAGAAGATGATGGTTCAATTGGATTTTTGCCACAATCATGTTTAGCACATGATCAAATAAACTCATTTTTATCTGTTAAAGGATTAAAAGAAACTGTTTTGTAATAAAATATACAATCAGAGTTTTTTTTTTCACGTATTCGATTTTATATATCATTTAGTTACTTATTTGTATAATAATGTCAATGTTAAGTTAACAAATTCTCATAGAATTATTGAGATTAAAAATAATAAAATATGACATTTAATAACAATGATTGATATATTCAAATCAATCTTATATATACATATATATTTATCATTAGAAGTCTATAATAAATATAAACAATCATTATAAATAATAACTCTGTTATTCTTCCAAGTTATTCAATGATATTTAATATTGAGTTATATTTTAAATAAAATATCATTTTTCAAAAATAATAAACATTCTCTATTGAAAAATTTATTTCTTCATAAAAATCTTACGTGTAGTATTTTAAAAGCATCTCAATACAAAATACAGAACTCTTCGATAGGAAAAGAAAATATAAGAACGATTTATGATGATTGTCTATAATTTAAATAACAAAATTATTTCTATTAAATTTGATGTCAAATGTTTTGGCAAACATTGTTATTCGAATGTTATTCTTAATAAGATATTTAAGAAAAAAAAATATTAAGTTATATTTATTGACATAAGGAAAAAAAATAGGAAGTGCATGCAGATTTTATTAACTTATACGACGTGCATTGCAGATAGAACTAACAAAGGAATATAAACCATTTCTACAGTAGAACACCCGCCATCTTCGAGTAATCATATATCGAACGTAATAGGAGACCTTCCTTAATCAATGTTTTATCCAGATTTTATCAGCCAGAAGAAAGATTTAAAACTCCTTGAGGACGAATATTTATTTTTGGGAATACAGAAACAGAACATATAGTATAATAACCACAAAATTTAAGAGGGTTAATCGGACCTTCGGGGAGATGCTGTCGTCTCAACTCCGACCTTGGATAAAATACTGCTCTTAATTATCGAATTTCTCGAAAAATCGGAAGTTCTAGCATGCGCTCAAAAGTCGATCTTGACCCCAATACATTTAAATTGTATGAAATTTTTAGGATATGTTGTGGTTATAGTGGAGAGGTTATGATACAATTTTCAGTTCTAAATGATAAGGTTTTCAGGAGATATTCAACAAACGAGGGTAAAACATAATCCATTTGCCAATCGAAAATTCTCTGTCGGTCTTCATTGTATATAGTAAATTATTTTTTTTTCAAAGAGCATGTCGGGATGCAGAGCATGGAAAAGTCTTTTCTTTTTAAATTCTTAATTTTTTAGCGAAGAAAAGAGAAACTCAAAAAAATGCCACTTTAATTATAAAAGTACTCTATATAATAATAACAAAGTGTTATGCAGTGCATCTTAACATACTCTTTCAAACAAAAAAAAAAAAATTAAATATATAGAGTGAAAGCCCATTGAGAAATAGGATTGCACGATCAAAAAAAAACATAAGTAGAAAGAAAAGTAAAAAAGATTTTTCACTTTATCTGAAAGAAGTATCGTTTCCAAGCAGAAAATGACAGAAATTTTTCGAGAAAAACCAGCATGTCATTTATTAAAGATTCGATCTCGAACTATCTACTCATATATTTATTTCAATTTTCATGTTTTTAATAAAAATTGAAATCTTAAAAGACTAAAGTCAATATATTTGTTGAGCTTTTAAAATCCTAAAAATCTTTTCCAAAATCTTCAAAACATTTTTTTTTGTTGTGAAAAACTTTTTTAATTAAAAATTATGAAAATAAATGAGAGACAAAAGAAGATTCCTCTGACAAAATTTGTATATGCTTAAATATAATAGAAAACCCAATGTCTTCTATTGCAAAGAAAGATTTTACTTATGTTTGATAAAACTAATTTCTTGTCTGATCAAAATATTATCATAATATCAAGTAAATAATTTTGTTTGATAATTATTTTTTGTTTTACAAATAAGTATTGTAACCTTTCCATAGGAAGTAGACTTCTGGATATACTCTTTCATTCATGACATTTCATCAATATTTACGTAATATATATATTCTTCAAGATAGTTATGATGGGAAAGAATTCCTTTCGAAGAAAATTGATTTATATTTAATGAAGATGAACTTGAAGAAGAATAAATTAATTGAATTATTCAAGAAGTCAAAAAAAAAAGCAAATAAAAATACATATTTGTCAACATACAATATGAAATTCTTGATTAATATAGATGAATAGAAAATTCGAGATGAAATATATTTTATCAATCAGATCTTTGAATTTAAAATTCATAAAATATTTCGAATAATAAACATAAATTTACATCCTTACCAATATTTCGTTGAACAATACTTGAGAAATAATAAGATAACTAAATACTTCTTTTTTCTTCCGTTTCAAAATTTCATTACGGCTATATAAAGATTTTCCCTTCCAATAACAAATCCTATTTTCTTTGAAAATGAAAATAATTTTCAGGCTAATCATTGAACCAAACAACTTATTCTATTTCTGTCATAATAGGAAGCCGATTATTAATCTCTTTTCAATAAAAAAAAAATTATAATTTCTCATAGGATTAGCACACTTGTGTTTTATTATCGTTGTTTTTCTTTCACATCTTTGTTTAATATATATATACATATATATATACATACAGAGTTTTACACAAGTACTTATGACCTTGTTGACTTAGAATTATAACTAAAATTAAAAAAAAATGAAGAAATTCGTTTGCATGATCTGATAGATATACACATACACTATATGACAATTAGTTTAACAGAATAAAGGAACTGAAAAAAAAATTTAATCAGAAGAGAAAAAATAACGAACATAGTCATCAATATGACATATACACATATAGAAGAAAAGAAAAGACACGTGCGAATTCACACATAACGAAAGTTAGACTAATTCTAAGACTTTAACAACACCTTGACTATTTGCTGCTAATAAAATATTTTCACGCTAAAAAAAAAAAAATTCTTAATAAAATTTCGAAAGAAAATAAATATCTCTATATATATATACATACATTACTCCAACACATAGCACTAACAAATTCTGTTCCTGTTTCTTCTTTTTTGACTCGATCTGTATTAACATTTGTAGTTTTAACCGTTCCATTATTAACATCATCAAATTTATAACTAAGTAATGGTCGAGATATTTCACGTTGATATAAATGTACTGTATTTGTTTCACTACCTAAAATTTCAAATTAAATTTATTTTATTAATTTAAAATTTAAAGAAATTTTACCACAAACAATATATCCATTTGAAACAGCTAAACCAACAAAATTTTTTTCATTAACATGTCCACGATATGTTCTTAAACATTGTCCTTCTGTAACACGCCATAAACGAAGTTGACTATCAGTTGATGCTGATACTATTTCATTATTTGATAAAAATCGTGCATAAGATACAGCTTTTTTATGACCCTTTAATAAATGACATGGTTCACGTGTATTACGTAAATCAAAATAATATAAATTATGATCAGCTGTACCAAAGACAATATTATATTGTGAATCAGGTTTAAATTTAACACAACAAACATTTGATTTTGCATCAATTGTTGTTACAGAATAATCATTATGCATTGACCATATTTTAACTAAGATTTAATTAATTTTTATTTAAAAAATAAAAGAGATTTTAATTTACCTCGACAATCATCAGAACATGATGCAAGAAATTTTGGATCTGATGAACAAAAATCAACACTCCATGAACGTTTTTCATGTTCCTAAAATTAAATTATCTTTATCTCATTTATATCAAAGATAAATGAAGAATATTACTTGAAATGTTCGAACTTTTTGTGCTGTTGCCATATCCCATATAGAAACAAATCCATCATAATCACTTGATGCTAAATAATTTCTTAAATATGGATTCCAACTAATACAACTTAATTTAGCTGTACATAAAACTTCTTTTGTAGGATAATGTAAATCAACCATATTATCTAATATTGATTGATATTCATATAACTTAAAAATCACAACAAAAGAAATGATTTTTAAATAAAGTCCTGTTTCTTTTTTTTTTTTAATAAAAGTTTTTACTTTGATCTTTTTTGAAACACCAGCAACAGCAAAATGTTCATAATCTCGATCAAATTCAATACTAAATCATAGAAAATTTTATTTAACAAAAAAAAAAAACAATTCCAATCCAGATTGTTTATATATAATGCTATCATTTGGATAATTATTTTTGCATTGAACTTCGACTGATCGTTACTCCAAAAATTGACCATACAGCATATTCTGAACTATGTTTAAGTTCATTTTTATATATTGAATATATGTTAAGTTACTTTAGATAACCTGACAAACTCAGCCGTTAGACTTTTATCCCATCGAGTTATTATTGAAAAACTAATGTTAGCCACCTGGCACAAAAATGAGGCTTACATTGCGTGCGTTTCCGTTTTATAAGTACTGCAACTTCAGAAAGTATTTTCGAAAACTAAATGAGGCATTTTGTAGGAGACTTTTCACGTTACAAAACCTTTACGCAAACGTTTTTTCTAGACATGTTTAGTTTTTGTAAAAAAAATGAGTTTAGTTGTTGTTAGCGATGTGACTGAGTGCAAATATAGACCGAAAAATCTTTTTCAAATTGAAAAAATAAATAGAAAAACAAACTCTTAATAGTGCAAATTCTTCTTGGAGATGTTAAGATGATAGCAAAATAAAAAGTATCGTTCTGTGATTACAGAAGAACTCTGAAAAAGTAGTTTTTATGAAGCGATTTTTCGAATATGAATCTTGCTGAAAATTTCACTATATATATAGTTTATGCTGTAGAATCTATTCGGGAATTTTTGGGCTTATTCGTTATAATATTAAAAATTTGTTCACTAATTAAATTTTAATTAATCAACCAATTAGTTAATTAAGTTTAATTCCATTAAAACTGAACAAGCCAATATTTTAAACTATGTTCATGATAAAAAGAGCTGTCTAAATATATTTGTATTGATCACCCATCAGTTTGTGTATATTTTCTTTTTTCTAAGACAAAGCTGATTTTTCATTATTATCAGTATATTTAAATAG